AGGGTGCCAATACACAACTGCGCGGCACGGGAACCTCTTAGGACAGTCAAAGAAGCCGCATTCGTTGACCATCTACTAATATATGTATAGAATTTGACCACCATTCTCGAGTTTGAAAAACTACGAGAACTATCTCCCACAGAAGTATAAACCCGAAACAGTCCTGCCGCCTCTATTCCAAACCGAGACTTCACCTTGTCGTTAAGCGGAGCCAAACCTTACCATCGATATGAGCCATTCCTAGAATCGTTAAACAAAGCCGGAAGAAAACACACACCGGAGGAAGATTTTGGGGCCACACCGAAAGCCTGTACAAATGATAGAAGACTGACATGTAAACAAATTGGTGAGGAGCTCTGAATTTCCTACCGTCAATGAAGCCACGCTTGGTCGTCACCAAGAGAGCTCACACCAATCTTAACCACTGCACAAGACCACCGCCCAAGTCACAAACGCCAATGGGGAGAACGCAAACGACGAAGCCAATCGCCACACCCGTGAGGATTCGAGCAAACCACACCCTCTGCTCGTTGATGCCTCCGGAGCCAATCCTGAAGCCCAGGAGAACCACCGCCGAGAAGCTGGAGAAGCCATCACACAAACCCAACATCACAGCCCAAACGAGCCGATGACCAACACAAGCAGAAACAGAGACGTTGTCGGTGAAGCCGTCAAGAGCCACACATCCGCACCAGAGATCTCTGGCGCTCATGTTGCCGGAAAAGCCAAAGTCGTCGCGCAATCCCTAAAATTATTAACCCTCCAAACCAAACAGCCTCACCGTCGTATGCAATTGATGTACTTAGAACTCACACCACAATCAATCCATGACCGATGAAGGACCACCGTCGAGGAAGCCGAGATCCGGCGAAGACTAGAGAGGTCCGTCACCAACCCGAGAAACCTGAAGTGAGCGAGATTGAGTCGTGATCCGGTAAGATCTCGATAAAGAAGCCAAGTCGCCAGAAATCCTTGGCCGGAACGAACCACCACTCCGGCGAAAGAAGATCTGAACCGCCTCTCCAACACAAAGCTTTAAACGACGAGATGTTTGGCCAAGGAGAAGAGGAATACAGAGACAGAGGAACAAAGAAACAAGACATAGACGAAGAAAGCAGCTTTAACACTAAAAGAGCCTTAACCTTCATGCCTAACGTTGTAAGAAAAAGATTTAATTTGATTTGGGTTTTTGTGAAAATTATATTAATAATCATGATATATATGGCTACTACATTAGTAAAGAAAACGTTACGATCAAATGTTCGTTTTAAACTAATAATTTTTTTTTATAATTTATACATGTACTATTTTTATTTGTAGAAAATTAAAAATTAATCAAATTGATATGTCATGCTAAACAATAAAAAATATATTCAAATTCTTTTCAAAAAGTTATTTTTTATGCAAATTAAAATGAACTAAATCCTAAGAAGAGAACCTAAATCCTATAGGAGTTTTCACTCTCACAACCTAAACAAAAATATGATTCGATTCAGCTCCGTTGTAAGGTTAGGTCGTACACAACATAAAAAATTAAATTCTTTATTTTTTAGTGTCGAATTTCGGTTAACTTTCTAGTGTTCGGTTAGTTTTTGTATGT